GTGGGCCCGTTTCCCCTCCGCCCGCCTGTCCCAGCTCCTCCTCTTCCTCTTCTTCGTCGTCGTCGCCGAAGTCATGGTGATGGTGGTGGCCGACGCCGTCCCTGCGGGGGAAGGGTGAGAACCAAGCCAAGCAGGTAATTCTAGAGGAGGTGCAGAGACAGCCCAGCACAGGCATGACGTTGAGATGTTTTATTTATATTTTTTGTCTTTGCTTTTTCCCCCTTTTTTCGCGCTTCCTTCCTGCCTCTTTTACGTTAGGCGATGTCGCTAGCCCTGTCCCACAGGAAAAGACCAAGACTCATCCTCGCACTAGTGCAAATCCGCGCATCGAGTGTGCTCACAGAATCGTAGACTTGTTGCCCATCGAAGTCACAACCGGACGAGAAGTACGTTACAGGAGACTTGGTATTCATCTTACAAGTCGTCATGAGCGCGATTTCCAGTGTCTGGTGTTCTGTGTAGAGGTTTTGCCACTAATTGGAGCGCGAAGCTGAGTGAGTCACCAGTGTTTATAGCAGTTTGACGTGCGCGGAATTGGTCCCCGCTTTCATGCGGCGAATTCCGGAGCTTCTCCTGGTTGGGAGTGCATGCTGTCGTTGATGCTGCTTCTCTAGAATCATCTCCGCGTTTGAACGCCGTTTTGGAGGAGAGGGGTTTTGTTGGAGTTGAGCGATTGCGTTGAGCTCTCTGTTGTTGAACAATTGGCGTGTTGAGTGCATGTTTCCTCTGTTTTTTTTTGTTCTGTTGTATCCATACAGCTCGTCGCATTCGAAATCGGGATAGCTGAACTGGAGTATGCCAGAATCAAGAATCTTGTGTAGTTATTTATTTTTCTTGCAATTGCTGAGATCATCGAAGGATATTTTAGTATTTGAATAGGCTCGTTCTTGGAGTAGTTGCCGATCTCTGTGTTTGTGTGAGTTTCTGCGCGAACAGGAGATTCGAAGGTTGTTAACTTCGAGCGTCGAGTGACAGGGTTCTTGAGTATTCGTACCTTGTGTCCCTTGCCGTAACGTAACCTCACACCTTACTATTAATTCTCAGTGCTGGGAAAGTGCCGTTCTACCGCAGTCCATTTCGCAACTTTCGAAATTTGTGGGAGTTAGAGAAACTTCTATTTACGAGACAATTTCAGTTAAGAATGTTGCGGTTATGGAGATCCGCAGGGGAAGTGTAGGATGAGGTTTGCTGCACAGGTGTGCATTTCGATCATGTGTGGTTGCACCCGTCGATGCCCGTCTACTCTTCATTCCTGCCCCTTCATTGTATTTTCTTCAACACCAATATAGCATCAAACCACCTTCAACTGTACCCGTGAATTCCTGGCATCGAGATGCTTCTCCTAGATATGGCTCAGTGCAAGTCCTACAAGGAATCTCTCAAGGTCCTGGAGGCTGACATCCAGCATGCCAACACTTTGTAAGTATATTTGTTTCATCCGAGCTACTTTTTGAAGTAATACTTGTACAGGATAGTGCACGCAAACTGGACTTTGTTCTCTAAAGGCAGGGGAGTGCACACGCTAATTTTGAAATCCTGACCTTTTATTCTGTAATTAGTAAACGAAACAGCATGTTATAAGAACATTCCGATCTTTCGAGCTTATACGCAGTTGCAATTGTTGCCTTTTTATCAAGTATAACAGTTAGACACGAAGACTCGTTGCCAGCATGATGCACTTATACAGTGTCTCATGCCAGGGAGACATTACAAGTTATTTTCCGCGTCCGAATGGCGGGATTTCTGCCCTCGAAGTGATCCTGCTTGATGCAGTTTTTGTGCGTTCACTTGCTTAAAATGTCATGTATTGGCGAACTTTTTCTAGTTCTAGAATTTAAAAACATCCTTGAACGAAGCAGCATGTGGATGGTTAAGGAAGTATGAGAGAAGGTTATGGGAGGAGGTACGAGAGAAGCACTTACATCGTAGGATTGAAGATGGTACCTCAAAATCAGCAAACTAACTCGCTTTGAATTCTGAGAAGTTTCAGATATCGTACTTCAGGGTTTTTATTTTTATTTTTATTATTCCTCCCTCACAGACAGATAAAATAAAATAAATTCAGTTTATACTTCCTACTGAAAGCATTGCTAAATACGATATTTTGTTTAATTTGACCATGTGGAATGCAGGTTTTTTGTAGCAATAAAATTTCGTTTGGAATGAGTTTGAAGCGAAATTTAGCCAACAAGGATAAACGCTGTTGTCCTTATACGTCGCCATTTTGCGTTTTGAACACAACTGACAGCTTCTAATCGACAAATTCCTGGATTCTTTCATTACTGGCACATCTAAAGCGGGGACCCTGCACATTGCAGTGTCCTTTAAATCCTTTGAATACGCTGTCTGACATGAATCCACTTTTGGCAGGGCATCAGACGTTCCAAGAGATTACGATGGGGCGTGCATACAAATGCGGTTATCTTACAGTCCCGTAGCACACTTGTTTTTGTTCTTGGTGCAATGGACAGATTGCAGCCTTGCAGGCGCGTTGGGACTTCTTCGCATTCTTATATACAAGGTATTACCTCTTTACACTTTCTGTTTCAGTAGTTCCATGTGTTGGTTGAGCGGAGATACTTTGTCATTTGCTAGAATCTTAAATTTCGTGGGGTAGATTTGGGAGAACCTATCGTGTCCAGCTTGCGAAATTTGGTCAGGGAAGAAATGAAACACGCGTAATTCTAAAGTTGACTATGTTAAACATTCGTCGTTGCCAACTAAGGCTGTGTATGCGATCTTCACTCGATCCGAAGGGTGAAGGTTTACAACTTTTTTGCATGTCGAGCACTAAAGCAATCAGATTGATTTTCATACCTTTGGAATCAATGTGAGAAGTTCAATGCTTTCAATGGTTAGGAAGATCCGCGTCCTAGAAAATATACTCAATTCAGCTATTTCGAGTCCCTTCCGTGAACAATACAATGTTCCCTGATGATATTCTTGGCGATATTACATTAAGCACCCGTTTTGGCGGGTGTCACCCTTCCACCAATCGTAATAGTAGGATGTATGGATTCTTAGCATGAAAACGTTAATAATCTCTCTTTTTCTATCTCTCTTTCTCTCTTTCTCGCTCTCTCGTTAACATACAAATACGTAAAAGTGTAAAGGTATTCATCTAGCATGACGTGACAGACTAATTCGACCAACTGTAAGCTTTGACGATGCTAGAGAGAAATCATGGTACTTTTCTGAAGCTTTTTGGTTTCCACTTTGGAATTTTTCTTGGTGTTGACGTGGCAGGCGGATCATTGCAGGTATACTTGGATGGAACCACAACAATGTCTGTACAGGAAAGGAAAGCCAGCCTTGGTGAATTTTATGGTATGGTTTTTCCCCTGTGAAGTGTTTGTGTCGTGGTTGCACGTCCTCGCAATCTTGCTTTTTTGGAGGTACATTTTTGTAATTTGCCCTTACACTTAGTAGTAAGGTGCAAAAAGGATTTCTGAGAAATTTGTGAACCACCTGCAGACATGTCTTTCATGCTGACGTTGAATTCTCATGCTGTTGCCAGGCCACATTTATCCATCTTTACAACAACTTCAGGCTGGTATGTCGGGTGTGGAAGACCTGAAGCAAAAAGCCAAAGTCCATGAGCGATATAGGAAACGCGACGAGGAATGCAGTCACATGTCGGAGTTCGATGTAGAGCGTGAAATTGAGTGTGGCATCTGCATGGAGAGGAACCCTAAAATTGCTCTTCCAGATTGCAACCACGTCATGTGTCTCTCGTGCTACCGGGATTGGTGAGCCCCTCTGCCCTGATTGAAAGTCTTTGTTTATACACTCTGGCCAATACTTCTCTTTCTTGCTTTTATGCTGAGGAGTTCCATCTGAAGGCTTTTCCGTTCAACTGAATTGTACGAATGGGAATGGTTCTCCTCTCTTTCAATTGATTTTACTGTGTGATGGCGTCATATGGATATTAACATTAAAGATATAAATATTGACTTTGTAGTTTACATCTCATTGAGAAGGTTGCCGTTTCCTGTCATGGTGATAACGACAGTGTTCTGCAGGCGTGGGCGATCTCAATCATGCCCCTACTGTCGAGATAGTCTGCGGCGTGTCAACTCATGCGACTTGTGGATTTTCACCGACTCAGCTGACATTGAAGATGTGGACAAAATCACTCGCGACAACCTCCAGCGCCTTTTCATGTACATAGATAACCTTCCACTCTTGATCTCAGAGAGTGTGTTTGCTCTTTACGATGCCTATGAAACGCATCTCAAGTGAGGGCCAACAACTGAACTGAACTCAACCCAAATCAACTCACAATGGCCGGATCATTGCAATTGAAGCAATATCACTAACCTCATTCGCCATATGTATTATTCCTTCACCCCCTTCCACCCAACCCGCATCTTCCTTTGTCGGCCATGCTTCTATTTGTGCAGATCAAGCTCATCAGATGTAGAATCGCTTAGGAATCCAATTTGATCCGTCTACACAGACGGGCTCTTAACATCTCAGACAGTAATGCCAGAAAATCAAAACGATGTATTTAATCATATGTTGGAGTCTCACAGTATCAATGAATATAATCTTGCTTCTTTCAGACCCAGTTCTTTCTTTCATTTTGCTTGTTCTTTCCACTTGACCTACGTTATCCATCTTCTCCTTGTCAGCAATTTTTTCTTTTTTTTGTTTCTATTACTGTGCAGAATAGAAATCCCTCATAGATTCCTCATTCTAAACACGAAGTGTAAGAATAATTGTTTTGTAGAAGTCAAAAAACAAGTCTAACTAACTACGACAGGGACCATGCAACTAGATTTTTGTAACTCTCCAAATTCAAAAAGATTCTATATTCTCCTCTCACTTTTGTTTAATTTCATCAGGTGGCTATCTCATCCAACTATTTTACATCAATTTTAGCTGAAAGAACTACAACTTGCAATAAGATTGGAAGACTGATGACCTCATATTCATTTGAAGTTAGACTTCATTTGAAAACAAAATTTCCTTCAAATGATTTATTTTCATTTGTATGTTTGAGAAAGTACAAGACAAAGACCTTTGTGCAAACATTTGTAAAATGCCCTTATTTATTTATTTATTTATTTATTTATTTATTTATTTATTTATTTATTTATGTTTTTCAAAACATGTTTTTCTGATACTGCAAAGATTTCAGCATTTAATACTCCAATAAAATCAAAGAAATCTGTGAAACAAGAACGCTGAAGAAAACAAAATGCAGAATGCGTTTAATTAATTTCCGAATTAAGAATGAGAAATATTAGATCCGATGAGACCCACGAGTTGCTCATATGCAACATCATACACTCAACTGTAGTTCAGAAGCACAGATTTCAACATCACGAAACCACTTTCTGTGCATAATTCCTGCACTAATATAAGCTTGGGAACAAAAAACAAAAAACAAAATGCATGTGTCGGTAAAGCCACCGAAGCCAAGCTCTCTCACCGCGGCTTCCAGTGCGGCAACTGCAGGCTCATCCCGGACACCGAAAGATTCCCCCTCCCAGAGACTTCGCGAAGACATAAACGATGACGATATTTTGGGGAGTCTTATAATGGACTGAACCGAAACAATGGCGCTGGGCGAGAATCTTCAGAGCTCGGCCCGCCTGCGCTGACATTGGCTGGATTGGCACTCTGAGGACTGATTTTAGTCTGATCTAGTGCTGCTGCAGCTGAGTGGCGATCGGTCTACCCAATTCCAGCTTTTCTGTCCCTTCGAGTAAACCTCGGCGAGCAAAGATCCGACCCTTGCACTGATCTTTCATACCGAAACCCAAGGCTCCAGTGTTCCAACCCCTCCAATAGAACCGGACAGCAGCTGTCAGTTTGGCAGTGCGTACTTGTGGTGTCCCCCTCTCGGACGAAATCCGAGCACTCGTCTGGGTTGAACTCGTCAAGCAGCTTCGAACCCACATCCCGCAAAATTATGCACGACTGCTTGAAGTCGACGATCGATCGCGGAGCTTCGATCGAGATTTATCGAGTTCTAACGTCGCGGAAATTCTAGATGCTTTTCAGAACTTGTGTACGGATTCCCCGGTTCGATTGGTGGGTATCAAAGTGCCGCAGTGGATTAAAAATACCCATGAAGTCTATCCTCTCACCAGGTATCGCAATTCTCGATAATGGACGCAGCGATGGAGCTCGACAAGCGAGAAACTCTGGACTGCTCGGAAAGACGCCGTGGAAGGAAGCCGGCACAATGTCGTGTGGATGAACGCACTTTCATCTATTCATTTTCACGATTTATTCCATCTCACACGTTCATTCCAGTCTGTTTCGTCCGTATCATCATTCATCCCATCGTCATTCATCCACCGCTTCTACAACTTTCTTTCAAATAGATCGTTGTCCACTTCTAAATATTTCCACTTTTGATATTAATTATTTTTGTAAGGTTGTGTATTGATTCTTGTGCAATGCTCAATTATTTTTATTTATTTCTTTATTTCTTGGAACTATCTATTTGTGAAAAAATAGAAAAATAGAAAAAAAAAGAAAAAAAAAAGAAGGAACAGGTTTGGAGGAATGAGTGATTGTTCGTGAATTATTGATTAATCAATGATAATCTTGTCTAAATGTGGAGAATTATATGAAGCTGATATAAAATAACAGTGTATGATTTTATTGCATTTTAATGTGGTTTTGGTTCTTGTAGTACTAAAACTCTAGAAATACATGAGGAAAATAGGGGGCAAGATGACAAAGAAATTTCCAATTAGGGAATCTATGTTGTTGAGCTTTTGGGCACTGAATTCCTTGGGTGGTTTGCCCTTTGATGAACACTGAAAATTATTTGATTCTTTGCTTAATATCTCAGAGTAAATTGTAATATATATATATATATATATATATACACACATGTGTGTGTGTTTGTATTTATATATCTAAATAATGAACTTGAAATGTTTGACGAGTATTAAAATGTTTGAATTAGTGTTCTGTTAATCATATGTTATCATATACTATTTATAAACCCTGTACGTTGTAAAAGATTATAAAATGTAGACTTTCAAATGTTTATATATATTGTCTTTTTTGTTACAGTAGTAACATGTTTGTATGTCTGTTGATAATTAAAAAAAAATAAAAAGAAATAAAAAGGGGATTGTCTGTCTCTCTGTCCAAGATATATGATAGTCTTCTTATTCAAAGTTTGAAATGAATAGTCGTGCAATATATATATATATATATGGCATGAATTTTAAGAAAGTCTAATACTCATCTCCAATTCAGCTCAACAAAACAAACCTCACATCAAAACCTTAATGGAATCACTAACTCAAAAGCTTTATTTAATTTAAATAAGCCATGTTTTATGAAGATAATTTGGCATAGAAGAGTAATTTGGCATAAAAGAGTACCCATCAAGATTACATTCTTAAGATGATGAAACAAATCATAAATAGCCAAAAAAACATGATAAGGATACAAATTGGAATAAAATTAGTTAAAGTAGTAGGATACTACAACACAAACTTGTAGTATATTTTATTGTAGATAACTAGCTGATAGAACAATCTACAATTGAGAATTTGGTTGTGACTTTGTAATTGTATGCAATTGATTCTACAAGAGAATAAGAATCTAAAAATATGGGTTCTTCCTCTTTCTAGTCAATCTAAAGAATTTTTAAAATCCAATTTTTCGTCAAAAAAAAAAAAAAAAAAAAAATCCTCACGAAGTCGGCAATTAGTGTTAGTAATATTATTATTGTTTTTGAAGTCACAACAATCGAACAACAACTTTAAAGCAAAAAGGAACGGATCTGCTCCTCGTCGAAGGGAAAGCGTCGAAGTAGATTACTATTTTACTAGTAAGAGATGGATTTTCTAGTTAGCCACAGCGTTAGATTTTGAAGCGTCGGATCACTGCGTGGAGAAGCGGCGGGGCCTCGGATGGCTCCAGCGTCTAGAATTCAATTCCTCCTCCTCGTTCGTGTCTATCTATCCATGGTTGCAAAATTAGGGTTTTCTCAATCCGTCTCTCTGGCTTCGCGCTACTGTCGCTGCAATTCATTCACAACTGGCGTCAATTCTCATGGTGGGTTTTCTCACATGAACGTTTATTCCTTCGGTGTTTTTGAACACTGTCTATGTTGCGTCTTTCGAGGATTTGCCCACTTTAGAATGGATAATTCCGCAACCTGATGAATTCTGTTAGCACATACTGAGAATTGGAGAAATGGGTTTGTTGTTTTTTTATTTTTATTTTTAGTTTGTTGCTCACATTGATTTGTAGGTCACGAATTCAAGGTATGTGTTGCTTTTGGAACGGGCAGGAGTGGTTGAGCTAGCATGGCACTATTACGTAAGAGCAGAGGTGAATGGATTTGGATTGTAAAGGACAGGATAGGATTCAGGACGCGGAGGTGAAATTCTTCCATGTGGGTTTGTTGTGGTGGTTTGAACAATTGGTTGAACATTGCCCTTTCCCCTTCTGTTGGACATGAGAGCTTGGAAAGATGTGTCTGATTCAAGCTCATCCTCGTATTTGTGAACAGGTGTGATTGGAGCCTTTACTTGACGACACAAAGTAGTGACCACACGGGATAGAATGGCTTTGACGAAGATATCCCTGGTGGGGGTGAGAGAGTTGTGCAGCCTGCACCATCTCTCTTCTTCACCGCCTCGTTTTACCCCTGTCGTTGCTCTACCAACAACCCTCCAAGGGGTTGCTAGACCAGGCGTGAGGAGATGCGAGGTTAGGAGGCGGACGGTGATTCGTGCTGCCGAAGCTGGCAATGATGAGATGCCTTCAGAGATTGACGTATCCGTCTTCCGATTCACTCTGGGTAAGCAGTTACGGAAAATTTATAGTTGATGTCGTTTACCGGGGCTAGCAATTGCAATTGCAGTTGCACAATTTTTTTTTTTTTTTTTTTTTTTTTTTTTTTTTGGGTTATGCCTGAAGATTGTGGTTCAATTTGTTTGCAGTGGGCTGTGTGTCCAGTGTAACCTGGAACTTCACAATTGGTCGTGCAGAATTATTGGGACACGTATCTGCATTATTGATTTGTGAATGGATGAATCTAAATTCAAACATGTAAAACGAGTTCTGGGAATGCAGTAGGAATATTCCCACAGTTGTAATTCGAGTGCTTGTATTGTGAATTGAGACGATGAAATTGGTGTATGTCAAAGCCTTGTTACAAAGGGTAGTATTTTCTGGTTCTGTGTGCGGCGTATATTGCGTAGTTCAATTCAACTAGACGAAAAGTACGATTATCCTTTGTTCTCGGTCTGAAGTTTTGGTTTCTGATCTGTTCCAACACTTGTTCAGTTCTTGCTGGATGTGACGTTCGCAAGATACCCATCTTTGTTTCTGATTCGTGTCACCTGAAGGCCGGTGTTATTACACGTGACTAGAGCATACTACAATACTATTACCATGATATGTATGATGGTTCATGTGAACCCTCCTGGCAGGCATACAGGGGTTTGATGATGCTGATCTGCCGAGAATTGTTGGGATCTTATTTGGCAGCCTCCTGCTCGTCAACCACGCTGTCAGCATCGAATCCATGACCCGTGCGCAATTGGTAACAGACGAGAACTTGATCTTGTTTCTGTCCTTTAAGTTCCATATTTCAAGGAGTGCGTTGTCATCCAGCTCTCCTTATGTTGGACTCCATTCTGGATACCAGGTGTCACATTTTTGGCGCATTCTGTGTGACAGACATCAGAAGCTTTGGGGCTGTTTCTAGCTGGAGTAGCGTGCAGTCTTCCCTCTGTCGGTCGTCGCCTCAAAGTACATAAGCTGCTACCCTTCAATCTGAGTATGTAACTCAAAATACTCTGCATGCTTTTCTAGACACGCAAAAGTCATTGTGCGGGGCATCGTTTCTTGCGTGACGTTGTTGCTTGAGCTCTGGCAGGGAGGAGAAGCTAAAAAGAAGGATGACAACGTGTCTCGCCCGCGATCTGTATTTGAATTATCTCGAAGGCTTAATGACCCAGAGAAGCAAGAGTTAGCGTGGGGCACGTATAGTTTGCTTCAAAACAGCAGAGCTAGTGCTGTGGTAAGTCAGTTGGCCTCTTATTGCAAATATTTTTTAAGCGTGAACTAAAAAAGGTTTTTCTAAACTTCCTAGTATTTGAAACTTACGAAGGATATGGTACCACAATCGCTGTAGTTCTAAAAAGCTGACAACAAAGTGCTTGACAAGCTACATGATCTGTGGTTGTCTTATGTGTTTTATGCTTCGATTTTCGTGGATGTAGATTGTTTGGCATCGGGATGAGGTTGTCTGCGCTCGTGGCAGCTTTGACCTTGGTACTATGGTTCGAGGTGCCAAGGCTCTACCAGTGTTGCAGGATATGCTCAACAACACGCCTTTCATCCATTCAAGTGATCCTTTTTACGTATCCGAAGGTGCAGGTAAGACAATAAATGACTTATTGTTCATCCATCTTCTTTGGATTATATTGAGGTGCGACGGTATTGACTTCACTGAGTTTGACTTCACAGATACTAAAGGGTGGCCGATCGTTCCAAAGAATATGAAGTCAATACTTGTTCAGCCTTTCGAGAAAAGTGATTCAAGCAGTTCCGTAGCAAAAGGAGGTCTGATCCTGTTTTCATATCAGTCTCGCAGTTACACTAGTAAAGATAGGACATGGATAGCTATGATAGCTAAAAAATTCTCTCATGTATTGAAAACTTAGGACTGGTAATCATGCTGAGTACTAGCTCCTCTGGCATTTGTTTCTTTATTACTCGTAACATTCATTCATGCTGTTTTGTAAATCAATTCATCCTTCCAATGAGGTTTTCGAATAGCCCAATGAGAAGTTCTGGGTCCTTCTGGCACCGGTATGTTCGGTATTCTTCGAGTTTTGGAATGTCTTGTACATCCTTCACAAGAGTATGTAGCACAGAGCGTTTTATAATCTCTGAATCGTGATCGACACCCAGTTCCCAAGTGCTGAGAGCTGTCTCGCTGGTAACATGCTTTGCAATGTTTCGCTCTGCTATGAGTTGTAAAGATCCAACGCCATACCTTTTGCCTGCAATAAGGAGTTTGGTTGCATTACTTTCAAGATCCCTGTGACTTATGTGGCTCGTGTACAAATAGCGCACAAATGCATCCAACACTTCCGGGAAAACATACATCTCCATCGGTGCTGTTCCTATTCGGTCCAGGTTCCCTTTCAGCTTTTTCTGCATCACATGAGGTTTTGGTGCCTGCATGACGAGTGATATTTAACCAACTGGTGTTGTTTACGTACCACATGAGAATTAACACTATAATCTTCTTGAGGGGAGTTCGCGGATTTTATGCTGAGAAGCTCGCATTCTATTCACACGTATGTGAAGTAGGATATGACAGATCATGAGTAAAGGATTCTACTACGATGAATAAATTCTAAAAATCATAGCAGACGGGATTTTGTTTTAATTTATTTTAATTTCTTCAGTGTACGTTCTGATTTGACAGTTAATGATGCAGGGGGTGATTAAGCTTTGTTCGGCCAATGCTTGGTGCATTGTTATGTTTTAATATATTCCAGAAGATGTTCTTCATTTGTACCAGGGTACGTGGTAGTACGGCAATAGAGAGGATGTTTTACTGTGCAACTGTTTAGCCGGAGTAAAATTAAGTGTCCGCTTCTCGACTGGATCAGCTTGAGGAAAAAAAGGATGACTAGCATCTTACAAGGACTACGCGGTGCGCATTGACAATATGGCCGCCAGATTGCAAGATAATATCGGTGTGGGCCGGGCTCATAACAGAATTCCACGCAGACAAAAACACCATGTTCCTGCAAACTGCGCTCTCTCTTTTCTCTCTTGTGAAGTCTATCCTCCATCTTTTTCAGTTTCATTTCCGTCTCCAGTCTCACCACCTGCTCGTGAAGGCTTGGTCCCAATCTCAGCTGTGCTTCGTAGCCCTGCTCCTTGACAATCACTTAGCACTTGGGACACAACTGGTCCCATTGAGAAACTTGAGGGCTTGGGTGACATGCTTCAAAAAGACGTCGCATTGTTGCCATAATCTTATAACGATACCCAGGTCCAAGGTTCACCACACCGTTCTTTTATAGGGTGATGTTATCGACAGCAGATTTTGTAGAGCAGGTCTGAGGCAGCATCGCAACAGCAGGTTATTCGCTGTTGCAATATAAAAAAAAGACTAAATGCATTGAGATCCTGATTTGATGACCCTGTTAAACCTCATTATCATTGGAAACCACCTCATTCTCTCTGAACAAGCGAGTGCTTGCAAGAAATTCTTGCTAGAAATTGCACAAATTCTTGCTACATTCGGAAGCCCTTCTTGGATTAGGAAAACCAGGGAGGTCGGACATCGATTTCTCATTTACCCGACGATAAGTTAACTACGGCAAGTCGTTGATTATGTGAACCCGACAGAGAGAATTGTCATAGTAGATGCGCGACGCCTTGGATTAATGAGGTGAAATTCACTAATTGCAGCTGGTTGGAATAACGCCGGCATTGCACTGAAGGCCATCTCCAGTCATCATTCATATAGCTGATCTGCCCTACAATTCTGACTAGTACATTCCGATATACTGCAGGCAGCATCCCTCTCATCCGCGGCCCTGTTCATTCCATATTTATTTCACATATAAATGCATCGTGGGCTGGAACTTGTGATGGTTCTTTGCTTGGAGGAATCCGCACCCGCGTGTCATCCCACTAACTGATAACAGTAGTTGATTGATTCAATCTGATTTGTTCAAAACAGTTCCTGAAGCCAGGGTTGTCGTTCCGGTCACACCTGTTGGACTCGAACTGGCAACCGCATGCCCTAACCCACTACACGGATGACGCTTAAATCACGACTATTGGAATCTAACCGCCATCTTGAGCGCCCCTTCCAAACCTGTTCGTTTCCTCGACTCCCCGGGCGCATGGGAAGAAGTCTTCTTAGAGACTTTGATCCTAGGCTTCGATTGAGGAGAGTCTCACACGGTAGTGAGTTTAGAAATTCGCAATTCAATAACAAATGCAAAAAGCCTCACCGGAGTGGGGGCACCTTGGGGACTTGCCTAGATAGGCCACCGGTTCAGTAGAGCTGAGAAAGATGTGCGACAAAAGACCGTGCGACAAGTCAGGGTGCGCTAGAAGCCGGTGCGAGAGCTTGTCCCCCAAGTTCAAGTCCTGCAACGAGCCATGCGACTTCTCACCATGCATTAACACATGTCCCCAGCCCGCACCACCACCATCTCCACCCAGGCAGCCATGTGCACGCGTCGCACCACCCCCTGACCTAAGCCACATCAACATAGAAGACAGAAAAGCCTACCGGCAGTGCAAAATCCAGGAATGGTTGGAAGACATGGTGGCCAGAGCTCCCAGGGAGTGTTTCGGCCACTACATCGGCAGGGTCTACGCGGTGGCCTCCCGGGAGCTCAACTTCGACGCGCAAGCGCGCACCTGCATCGGCGACGAGTATCCCCACTTCGTCGACAGATACGTGTGGCGCATCCTGCACGGGTCGCGATTGAACATGCAGAAGCACGGCACATCCATAGGGCACAATACGGAGCAGAAGAATCTGTCGCTCTTGAGGGAAGAATGCGAGGAGCTCTTCAGCGAGGGCCAGATCATCCCAGACCCTAAAAACAGGATGGGCATCGACGACACTTGGGTGCATGAAGGCGAGCATTGCTCATCGAGCCGAGCAGGACGCCAATGCCAAGTGCAATCGCACACGGGAATCCACCAACCAAAACCATGACGCACAGACACGGCCCCCACCCGATCGACAAAACTCGATCGAGCACGGCGCAGCGACACCGTCGAGGAGCATGTCGATGACGGGTTGAGAGATTCCTTTACTCGTCGTCGAAATTAGGGCTAGGATTAGGGTTTAGGTCTGCTGTACAAATTTAGGATTAGGGCTTAGTTTTCTTTCACATGGAAAAAAACTCGGTTAGAAGTGCCTGGGTGACGGATTCATTGCTTCGTTGATTGTTTCATTTCAATGATGTTAGCTTTTCCATTATTCAGGACAGTTTTATAGTATTAGACATTGGGGTTTGGATGTAGGTCAATGATTTGGGTTTAGGATTAGAAATTAGTTTCTTTTACATGGAAAAGTAACTTTGAAGTGTATGGTTTATTTCTTTGTTGGCTACTTCAGTTAATTAAGATTTGTTTGTGTTTTAGAAGAATTTAAAATTGTTAAAATTAAAATTATAATTTAAATCTAAGATTGGATTTAGGGATGGAATTTGGACTTTTGAAATAAGAAAATCAATTTAGAGGTATTTGTTGATTGTTTTTGTGGATTTGCAGGCTCTCACTTGATCAAGACTCATTCATATATTCTTTCTAAGAACTTTGCAATTTAGTGATTATGTTGATTTTGTATTGATATTGTGGACAAATATTTAGGTGGTTATATTGTGTAATAAGATTGGAAGTAGTAGATATATACAATGGAACTCTTGGGTTATCAATTTAAAGACATGATAAAATTTAACTTACTTTAGGACACTTTGGAAATGTCTTTATCAAAATGTAAGATTTTTTTGATAATTTCTTTACTGATTGCTTTTTATCTTCTTTTTATTTATTTTTCTATATATATGTACATAATTTTTTAGTATATTCAGTACTTGGTTCTATTTGGTGATTCCTTTGATTAAAAAATATTAAACATCAAATATTGTTCTTAGAATAAAACAATCTTTGCTATTTGAATTAAATTATCACTACATTTGAAACAATTTAAATCTTTTAATAACATATATATATATATATATATATATATATATAACATGTGGATCATGAAATGTCATCTTTTCATTACTATTTATTATTTTAAAATTAGTAAAAAATAATGATATTACTAATGCCACATTATTTTTTGCTATTGCCACTACAATCTCCATCTACCACATGGCACTTTTGTTTAATACCTTCCAAACCAATTGTTTGAACAAATTTTATGATTGGAATATCAAAAAATAAATAAGAAATAAGAAATAAATAAATTCAAAGAAATCATTATGTGGATAATTGATTGTGGTAGTAGTAGCAAAGACTATGGTAGCATTAATAATACCCTAAAATTATACAAATCAAACTTTTATTTTTTTTATTTTTTTTATTTTTTTTATTTTTTTATAAAGAAACAAGAAATAATATCATGAACATTAAGTAATATCATATTTTGTGAACATTAAAAATAAAAATTGAATATTCACAATATATAATGACCAAAATGTTACTTTAGTTCAAAATATAGTCCTTTCTAATACTTATAATACTAAGTGTTTGTTAGTTTTTATTTTATGTCTTAAATTGCATTTTAATACATGTAATTTGGATATGTATACATGTATATATATATATATATATATATATATATATAAGCTTATATCATTAGGTATAAATTTAATTCAATTTATTTTATATTTTATATTTTATTACTTCTTTAAAATAAGAAATAAAAGCCCTTAAGACAACAACAAAAGTTTAGAGGATGCTACTTACATGAGAATCCAATGCACAAAAGCTTCTAATGTATTATTTTAGTAGAATTCATTCAATTCAACCTTTGTCTATAACAATGATGGTATTTCTCTATTATCAAAAAATCTACCTTGAATAGATTATGAATAGGTTTTTTTCTTTTGCAATCCAAGATATATATATATATATATATATATATTTTTTTTTTCCTCTCAGACAAATACAAATACAAATACAATTGGAGTCTTTATAAAAACTTATTTGACAAGTTGTTATCATATATATATATATATATATATATATATATATGTACCACTTTATTTTATAGATTTGTAAAAAGACTATGCAAACATTGGTTTATATAAACAAGATATACTTAATGCTAGAAATTAGTTTATTCTACAAATCTCTTATATAAATAAATAAATAAATAAATAAAAATATATATATATATACATAAAAGTAATACCAATAAAATTAATTTTGTGAAAGCTTTTTCTATACCTATTATGATTTTTGTTCACAATATCACATTTGCTAAACTTGGCTATGGCCTTAAAGTAATTGTTTATTTCAAAGCTATCATTGTTTTTCCACATTCAAATCTTATTTTAAATTGTTTGCAAAGCAATTTATTGTTAAGAAAAATTATCATGATCATGTCAATTTATTACAATTTTTTAAAAAATAAGACAATATTATAGAATACAAAATAAAAAATTGACAATAGATTGTCTAAATTGTGCATGATTAAAGTTATTCAAGTACATAATTACTTATTGCATGTCTTATACTATGTAAATAGTTTCTATTATAAAAGCCTCTTATTACTCTTTGCCACCAAAAAATTATTTCATAACTTTAATTCAAAGAATATATATATATATATATATATATATATATATGTATTTAGAATAAAAAATTAATGTTCCTTTCAAACATGATAAACATCTATGAGTTTATGTTAAAATAGAATTGTTGCCACACACCCATAGGGTATGAGAAGCAAATTATATACAAATATATAAAACAAAAGTTGAAAAAAATTGAATAGAATTTTATGCTAGGAAGAAAATATAAAAAGAAAGTGTTACAAAGTAAGTATAAAAGCGAATGAAGTGTAGAACAATTAAAAAGAAGACAAAGATATCATTTGATAAATTAAATTTGTCTTACCTTTGTGTGATGTTTGCTTCATTTTATACACATCGCCAACATTACATCAAAAATTCAACTTGGATTCCCTTTTTACCTCAAAAACATCTTTATGTGAACATCCAAACTCGTGACCCATGAGAAAATATATTTTCTTTAGTTTGTTTGTTTTTTTTCTATTCTTTATTTTCTTCAAATTTCTCTTCTAAACAAAACATGTCCGCTGTATAATATATCTTTAGATAAACAAATGAGTACATACAAGAATCAACAATGATTTGGAATTTATTTGTTGCATTAATTTAAGGTGATTCTTGGGCATGCAATTGCCAAGTCCTAAACAAAGAACATCAAATGAGTGCGGCAATGGTGGTTAAAGATTGGTGGAAGACGAAGAAATTAAGAACCGTAGTTGACTGTTACCAGTAAAAAAACAACTATGCTTGTCTTCGATTTTGTAGTGATGGTGAAACTAGTTGGACTCCAATTTAGTTGTACTAAGCAATAATGCGTGTAGTGAACTTGTGATTGAAGTGCCGCTTAATAAGTATGGGAACAAACTCAGATTCCCACTAAAAAAATAAAAATAAAAATAAAAAATGATACACGAAATAGGATGTCTACAATAATGGTATTGCGATGTCTTGGGTATAAATTTTGCTCCAATTTCATTACAAATATGAGAGAAAAATCTGAGTGCCAATCTAAAATCACTAATTCTCAAAATTGTTGTTGCTGGTACCCCTGATTACATTCACTTCACCTCGCTTCCATTCAACCTGCCAGACAGCGATGAATAATCATTATCCTATATCAAAGAATCAGTAGGAAAATGAAAATTTTATGTGCGAAGGCAGTACAAAATAATGACCTACTCGATGTGAGACATCAAGATCTCATGTGAATTTATGAATACAATACCTTGAGCCTACGACCTCCAACAGCAGCGTTGTTCAGCCCCGGAAGAATCTGGCACTGTGAAAGCTTACGGACCTGTTACCGAAACAAAACAAGTGTAAGAAAAATAGCCTCTGATGATCACACATGATTGTTTCATTACAAAGATGCAATGCCAAAGAAATGGCCCAAAAGCCTTACCCGAGTCCCCTGTTCCGGCTACTTTTCCTCTCCACCCCCAGTTTGACATTGATGATATTTCCTGCACAAGTAAAACATTTCAGTATTGATCATTTCGAAATTAGAGATGTGATCACTGTAAGCTCTGATGTTGAATGGAATCTCAAATCTGCTTCGAAGGAGACCAAATATCGGTACATGTCAACCTCTATGTAAGAGACTAAAACCACGTCAACTGTAACAAGGTGACAAAAACACTTTGATACAGCTGGAAAAGTAAGAATGTAGGCAAAAGGACTGTTACAGCAAATACAACCCTAGACGAGAAAATTTTAAAAAAAATTAGGTTAACCAACAGATGTCTTTCACTTATGCAGTGGATATTTAAATGCGAAATTTCAAGATAACGAGGTATGAAGCAGTGGAGATACAGTCAACAATGAAACAGTGAGAAGAGGACTACTTTCACGAATTGTAAAGTCCGCCCACAAGAGAAATAGAACTAGGAAAGATGGTCCACAAACACCTAAGCACCATATCCCCGAAACTACTCAGCAGATGATCACTTCACTTAAAAACGGGGCCTCCAAAAATAAAACTGCACATGTCTAAAATTATCTTCAAACCCCAACTAATATTGACAGTGCTAACATTCAGAGATAGATCAGAGGCGTTGGATAAAAATTTACCTGCTGCCTAGGCAGTTCTGCAGAGCCATTGGTGACAGGTTGTGAATGCATGTAGCCCATTCCCTATTAAAAATCAAAAATATTTAAGTATAAAAAAAAACTAGGTAATAGAGTCAACTACACAAAGTAGAGAAATAATGGACAAAATATAATGTACGAGTCTACCTGGTACCTACTGCGAGTGGAACAGCATCAAAAGCAGAAGTTAAATTTAATAGGACGACTAATCTCGGACTTAAAATGGCATAGCTAGAAAGATGGAACGACAGGGAGTGTACGGTTAAGGTATAATAGCAGTAGGTTGTTTGTTCTAGGAGAATTTATGTGACAAAATTGAACCCATCCTATCTCACGAAGTAATCAAAATAATGCTGCGAAGTAAACTGATATTACTATGACATCGCTAATGCAGGAGCTAACCACTCCTTTGCCGTGATGATGCGCTAGACGTTTAACTGATGTTAACAAACACAGTTAACATTCTTAGTTAAGTGACCAGACTGAGCGTGGATACAAGGCATGATCATTTAAGGAGAGACATACAGAAGTGCTGGTGGCTGCTGGTAATGTTACTTGTGTCAGCTGCTGTTGCTGTTCAAAAGCCTTCAGCTCCTCCGGTTTCTCCCACTAACAGAACCAACAAGATCATTATAAACAAAATTCCTCTTCAAGTCTAGAGGTTCTCACACGGCTATGAGCTCTTTCTATGCAGTTCACCAATTGAAAATCAAATAGAACAATCGAATCAACGAGCTCAACCACTAATTGAAGTGTCTTATCCTGAACACTGCCAAAAAGGGATTCTTTATCCTCTTATCGACTATAGAAATCAAATGAAATGCCAGACGTAAATCAACTAAATGAGAATTTACAAATGTAACCACAAAGATCCAAAAATTTCATATTTAAAGCAATTATTATTCTACTCTTCCACAAAAAATAGCCGAAAACATCAATAACACACCTTGCTCTCTCTAGTTGTGCTGTTATAATAATACTTGTAGCCTTCAGGAGAAGTGTGCTCCGACCAATCACATGTGAGTTGCGGGGCTGGAGGTTGAGGAGCAGCCACAGGAGCATGAGCTTGAGAATGCTGAACAGGAAGATAATAGGCAGGCTGCATCATATCCACAGCAGGTTGTAAATGTGCGATCCATACAATAAATGTGTCAAACAAATACTACCTTGGAAGCAAACAAATAGAAAAGAAAACACGACTGAAATGAGGATCACAAAAACGAGGTTTCAAAAACTTAGACCCCTCTCAGGACTTGCAGAAAAATCGCCAATAGTTACCAAAAAAAAATTATCATAAATGAGCAATATTATTCTCCAATCTCCTCAAAGTGGATTACCTGCTGAAGCTGTTGAGGTTGAGGCACTTGATGGTACACCTGCAGATCGATCAAGAAGTTGTCAGGTACTTGATGATCACTGAGGGGAAAACACATTAGAGGATAAAGCGACTCTTTTAGTTAGAAACCGCAAAACCACTTCCAAGAACCTTACATGCAATGAAAGTAAGTGTTTCAACTGTATTTTTGGTTGTTACAAATGCCTCAACAATTAACAAACTCAAATGGACCACTATGAAATAACAAGACACCATAAATTTCAGTGTCTCAAAATATGCGATGCAAACCAAAAAGACTGATGTTTATAGGACCTGCTGCGGCTGTAATTGCTGCTGGGTGTGCTGCTGCCCAGGTTGCAAAGCTTGTAGCTGACCCACTGGCTGGAGTGCAACCTGCTCAGATAGCTGCTGCTGCTGTCGTTGCAGCTGAGCAGGTTGCGATTGCAACTGCATCAACATTTGTGGTTGTTGCGACTGCTGCTGGCCTCCTGGCTGTAATTGAATTATTGGCCGTGGAGGACCCTTAAGAGAAAACCCAATTTGTATCAACACACGGCAAACTAGTATCTTCTAACGCCTTTGAACCTTCTCCAATATAGAAAATCTCGGTCTCAACATTTATAATTCAAATAGGAACAAAACTTTTGCACACAATCCAAATATCTTTAGCAGGCATACCAAATGAATCGTACCTGTTGCGGCATGTAAGCCTGAGATTGCTGCTGAATCTGTTGTATCGGTTGCTGTTGTTGCTGTGAAGGCTGAAGGACGTACTGTTGCTGAGGCCTTTGTTGAGGTGCCTGTTGGTAGCCTCCTTGACTTACCTGCGCAAGATAAGTAATAACCAAACATCAATAACCCAATTCATATTTCATTAACATGCTCATCACTTGATTATCATAGGAAAAGAGGTTGGGTACTGTCAGGTTGAGGTAGTCATTCAAGCATACATCTCTATCTCATAATTAAAAGATTTAACTAGATACAATCTACGAGTATCAACATTGATCTTGGATCCAGCTCACGAAAGTTGACTAGTAGAAAACCAGATGTTGAGCATATAGTCGAAGTGAGGAAGAAATAGACGAGATCAAAATGCTTAGCTTACCATCTGCGGCACACCAGTAACAGGTCCTCCTCTAGGCCCATATGGACTAGGAACTACTTGGAGATGACCATAACCGACTACTCCTTGAGGTCTCCAACTCAATTGTGGGACCCGACCAGCTGAAAGACCCATTTGTGAATGCATAGGCCTAAACTAACACCAGACATAAACTTCAGCGTAAGCATTATTAACCTAAATACAGGGAATTTTATTCAAAAGTAATCGAAGGAAGAATATGAGAAATTAAAATACAGTTGATTAGAATGTAGCATAACTTCATTCTAAAGAATTAGTTTGTAAGTTCGCACGAACCGTAAACCTCCTTGCACTTGTTGACCTTGCGATCCTTGGCGAGGACTAAAACTTGGGCCACCAAAACCTGGACCGCCAACTCTGCAACAGAACAATGATAACCGGACAATTTCAGGCAAGGTTCATAGTACCTTGTATATTCTTATTGCAAACACAAATCAAACTATCATCCACATTGACTTGAAACATGAGTGCATGAACTGCACCTTGACTTCATAATGAAGCTAAGTTAGCTATGATGTCCAGCTTCTACATAATTAACAAAAGCTGAATTTTTAACTTCAGGTCCTAAACTAGTACGCAGTAGATATTCTCGTAAGAGAACATAAATGCGTCGCACTCTACATGTGCTGACTAAAGACATACCTCGCATCCCCACCCTTCGGTCGCTTGGGATCAGCAAAGCGAACAGCCAATGGCTGGTCGCAACCCTGCGCAGTTTAAATAAGTTGGACTGTAAGTATTCTCAATAAAACCTTCGAAAGACAACCAAAGAATACATCACTAAATGATGATTTCATAAAATTAGTTCTGCAATTTGGGCACATAATGTATCACCATATTGAAGATATAATAATGCCACACACTAGTGAAGGATTTTAAGCAATTCTATAGAGGAAAAAAATTAACCGTCAGAAAGAAAAGCACTGGTTCGTAATCGTGGTCATACTTGCATTATGTGAACTCCATTCAGAGCATTGATTGCTGCTTGGGCATGATCCCTTTGAGAATATTTAATAAAAGCACAGCCTGCACGATTCGATTGAAGTCAGCATTAACGTAGTACAACCAAATATAAGTAATTTGGGTCTCAATAATCGAAGAAAATAGCCAATAAACTAGCGTTACTATGAATTTACAGTTAAGATTCATGCGATTCCTCAAATGGGAAAAAAAGTTTAGTAATAACAATGATAATAATTTGTATTTCATATCATCCAATTTATTTTCTTGACCATCTAACTGACTTTCATCACAAATGTAGCAAATGTGTACAATATTCAATCAAGAACAAAGATGACAGAGGTAAACCTCGGCTCTGCTTCTGCTCATCCCTCATGATGTAGACATCATCAACTCGGCCATAGGGAATAAAAAGCTGCAGCCAGAAGCATATATCCATTCAAAAAGATCATTAAAACTAAGTATGTCTTCGACTTCTGAACTTGTTACAGAAAAAGCTGTTATGACTGGCTTCTGAAGACTGATTTGAATTTCCTGTTATGACTAATCAGAAAAACCTCCGTGATCTCAAAACCATACCCATTATTCAAAAATACCATTCACCAAAAGAGTGTGTAGCTTAATCCAATAATAAATCTTACCTCTTCTATTTCCTTCTCGGAGGCTTGCTTGTTGAGTGAACCAACAAACAGTTTATGTTCAACAGCCCCTACACCAGTGCAATATTTTAAAACAGACGTTACAAACTGCGGCATTCTATTATAACCTTCTTACAAGAGTGCCTATGTGCCCAAAGTAGGTGAAACCACACACACATAGGAAATCTATTCAATCTGAAGGCCAACAATATCAACACGTGTAGAGGGGCGATAAATTCAGGCACTCGTATAAACAATCAAGCACATTCGTAGCAAAAATGTAATGCAAAAATCATATACCAAGTCGTTCACGCTCTCCATCAGCATAACGCACTTGTACTGGTGAAACCCCCTGGTAAGAGAAACCACGTTACTCTTCTTCGACGATTTCCCTCGACGAATAATTGTCAAATTTCAAATATCAGCATTACATTCTTGAGAGGACTAAGTAGGCGGATAAGAGCAAAATAGATGGTAGAACATCACTCAGAATTAAGGTTTCCGAATTCAACTTAACACCTCAACGACAGCATAATTTAAAATGCAAGACAAGACCTATAAACAACATAGTTTAATAACCACCCAAAGTTTTCCATACCCCAGGCAACGTTTTCTGATTATGGAGAGCCCTGATTGCTCTCTCCGCCTCCTCAACAGTAGAATACTTAACGAAGCAACATCCTGCATCACTCAACAATCACAGGTGGGTTAAGATGCCAAGCTCCCCGAAGCGTACTGAATTTATTGCAACCAGCTGACGGAGAGTAATGCCAGTACCAATACAAGACAAACATTGAGAGGCGTATGCAAGAAAGCGAATTCCAAGACATTCTGGTCTCTCTGCCTCTTATGACTCGTATTAAACACTACAATTGTATTCAAATCCTGGGAATATCAACATGCCTTTTAAATCCATTCCAAGCAAAGGTTCACTACCAGAACACACACAAAGGCAAAAAGACGCGGCACATTTACAGTTCAAACTTGCAAAATGCCAAATCAAAATCGAATGGCATTAAAATACTACAACTGAGGAAAATAGAAATCTAATCCACTGTATCAACATCCATCATCCAATCAGTATATGAATTCCAGTTGATCAAGGGCATTCAGGGTTTATAAAATCTAATGAAGGCAAATATTCCGTCAACTGAACACCAGCAGACACTGTTCAGGAGCGAGTCTTCCAGACCATCTACACAATCATTCCCGGACCGTATGCAACCAATGACTCTACCATAAATTTCTACATAATCATTCATAGGCTTGTACACAACCATGGCGAATGGCATACACAACATTGCTATCATGAAATAACTACACCACCTAAGCGGATTAGCTACACACATATGACAAGGCATTCATGAACTCATGATTGCAACATCGTTCATGGTGAGCAACATGAACAGATTTGGCGTGAAATGCAAAATGTGGCACAACATCGCACTCATTCTCATAGCCCATACAAGAGTACTCCACCAGCCAGAAGGCGATGCGTGAGATCGCACACATACTGGTGTCAGAAGACACATGAGCAATCACTCACGGAAGCTTTTCTGGCTGAGCCTGTATGATGAGGCGCGCCACCTGGCACCTTTCATAAATCTGAACCAAGGCCATGTCTGCTCAGAAACATTCTGCACATGATGTCTTGTTCGTGTGTAGTGAATCCTCTACCGAATGAAAAGCTAAAGTCTAGGCAGAGGCAATCGCCGCAAGGGCCTCACGTAGCAGTCATCTGTGGACAATTTTTTTGGGGTAGAATAAAACCCTCAATAAGAATGACTGGTTAGTAGCACCGCTAAAATCATTGCGCTCCATAACCATCACAGCACATTCAGGATATTCCACCAACCATCACATGCAGGCTATTCACGCTAATCATAAGCAACAATCCTACAAGGAACTATGTTCAAAGGTTGGCATTTCATAACCACAGCACTACTGATAAGGTTCACTGACGATAATACCAACACATGTGTATACACAGCAGCTACCAAACAAAAAAGGTTTTCAGAAAAAACCAGCAACAAAACAGAAATCTACAGAACAATTCTTCAAACCATTATTTAACCAGCCACAGCAAGTCATACAAACCTCTACATTCATGTGAGAATGACTTGAGACAAACGGAATTTCATTGATAATGATTGAACCAATATTATGAAGAATAAAGTTTTCCTCAGTTAAAGAACCTGAAGTACGATGGATCTTGCACAGAATTCGAACCACGTTGGTTCTAACCTTACTTCCTCGATCCCTACAACTAATACCATCAATGACTCTTCTCTCAATCACTCCCACTTGTCGAAGTCTAACAACATCTAAAATAAAACCGCAAAGGTGACGATGAGTGAGGCGAAGAAATGTGGTGCACATCCTTACCATGTGTGCACCGGTAGTGAGATACGCGACGATAGTTTTAAAAACTTTGAACTGCAAACATGTATATAACCATAAGCATGAAGTGACGACACAAGAAGCACCTTGTTGATTTCCTGTTCTTTTGTCCTTGATTATGGCAACTTCAAGTACGTTTCCGTGCTCAGCAAACATTGGTCGCACCTGTAACAAAGCTATGTTAGTATTTAAACAAGAAAAAATTTAAAATTAAAAGGACAAATTGCACATCAAAAAAAATATGGCACAGTAGAAGTGTGGTTAAACACTGACATATACTTGTAAAAAAAATTGAGTTGTAATAGAAAACGTCTAATGCAGGAAGACTGCGTAATGTGGCAAGACTAACCTCATCTTCCGTAATTGTTCGGGGCACAGACCCAACAAAAAGTTTCACAAAAGAACCATCGGTCGTATCTGCAATAACAGCACAGTTCAGCATAACTGACCTCAAACTTAGTTTCAAGCCTGACTCGCCAATCAGATACCGCAGACACATGACAATGAGGTGAAGTTTAGCATGTAAGTTAAGACCTTAGTCTGAAACTACGGTGAGCCATGACTATGCTCTGGATATCTTAGGAATCTTATGATAAATAAGCGGTATCGTCCATAGGTTTCTAGGTTGACTACCATACGTAATCACAACGAAAGGGAAAGATCCGAGACGTAAACTGCTCAGGTACAAATCATTGAAGCTTAGGTGATGACAGGCTAGAAAACAAAAACACGACAACGTAAAACGTGAAGTCTTAAGGATGGAAATGGAATCGCGCAAGTTTCCTTCAGAAAGAAACCCCGAATTAAAACTCAAACTCACTTTACAATTTAAAACAATAAGACTCGTAATGGTATCCAGGTTGTCTATTTCCAACTTTCTATTAGGGCTTCACCTTGGACCAAAAGTTTCAGAGAAAACTTTTCCCACTACATGCTTTTACATTCATACCCTAATTTATCATGAGCACCTCTAGCACGGAAACGACAAATGTACCAATCGACCGACCCCCTGTCATCTTTCAGTCTTCGCCTCGTTGAGCTACCGGTAGTCAGTCCTAGGGCTTAATGCAATAGCGACGATATAATCTGCATGGAGTTTCAAACTTATAGCTCAAAAAAGGCTGCTCCAGTGTAAAGATTCGACGGAAGTGAGGATGTAGTATGTGTGTCTTAACATACACACACATCAGCACACGCACACAGTACCCTCAACTAGGTGATTCGGGCGCCTCTCAACTATGTAGGAGGTGGTAAGGATAGTACGCGTCAGCGTGAACAACCTTAAGTATAAATACATCTAAAGACTGCTCAAGAACAAATGAGTACATTAGGGGACATACTTAAGAATCGTTGCTCAGCTTAATCGAATGGTATGCCCGTCAGGAGCATCCACGAAGACATACAGAGCTTAACGCATCAAGGAACAACACTACTGTCTCAGCAATATCAGGCTCTGAAACGAATCAAGTAACAGCTCGAGATTGAGAGCAACTGGGCTGCGACGTATTTTAAAGAAAAAATAAATATACAAATAAGGAAACAGATGAATAAACAAACTCATAAGAAAACGAACTTGTTACTACTCTAGGGGTCACATGAGACGGTCAGGCCCGAGGACAACATGATTCGACACACCTACACATGATCACTGAACACAGTAAGAGGCAAATACGCACCGCGGCCGCCGTGCACAGGAGCACCAGAACTATCTCGCTTCTGACCAGACAAGGAGACCGCACTGTGGTTGAGGCCGTGAGCAAGCAGCATTGAATGGATGCTCCCCGCGACTGCAGCTCCATAGCCGTCCTGCATTGGAATCTGAACCTGCTGCGGTGGTAGTTGATGCTGCGTCAACACTGGCTGGGGGTAGACCTGCTGCTGCTGCTGCTGTTGAGGCGACGCTGCTTGCATTCCAGCAGAATACGGAGGGGGTAGCACCGTCGCAGGGGCTGCTTGCATAACGATCCCTCGGCTACGAAACCTGAACTGTGTGTGGCTGCGGTCCTCGTCCGAGTCGGCGAGGGAGCTAACTGGAAAGAGTGGCCCTGGAGAGGCGAAGTAGCGATGTATAAAAACGTCGAGATCTCACTAACTTACAGTTGATGTCTGTCTATGCCTGTTCTCTATGACGAGCTTCTCTCTATTCCTGACTGGCTATGGCGGACATGGCGTCGCTTCCTTTGCACGAGCGCTTCACACCCCCTTCTAAACGCGGCACATTTCCACTTTGGCTTCCCTTCGCCCTTCTCCGCCGTCTTCCTCTAATCGACGGCTGAGATTGCTCCATCTCTACGGCCCTACTGCTGCGTGCTCACATGCCTGTCTATTCATTCCCTTCTCCGTGTCAGTGGCTTCAGTGGGCCTTCATACCTGTGCTCCTATGACCGAGGGATCGGAATGGCAAATCATGAGGATTTCATAGTGTCACTACCTTGAGCTACCGCATTGACATATTGATAATTTTGGATTTTGTATTCTGTGATTTAACATTACACCATTAAAATCATAAACATAAAATATAAATTAAAATAAAATGGATCGGTTTTTCAATACAAGTTAAACTTAAACAATAAATATCTTTACCTATTATTTTCTTTTTCAACTTATAAAAAGGTTTTTTAAATTCAAATAAATATCCAAAGTAATAAAAAATAAAAATCACTAATTTCATACAACCTTTTTGATAGTAGATATTATTTTATCCAAATTAATTAGCTAATTAATAAATAATATTTATTAAATGATCAAATGATGTTGTTTTTAAATTTTAAGTTATTTTTATCTATTTTTTTAATAAAATAAATTATTTTCATCTAAATTAAAATTTTATATAAAATACTTGTAAAGTCATTTAAAAATCATAATTTTTTATTAAACTATGATAGTAATAAAAATAAAAATATTTAAAATATTTTCAATAGTTTGTACTTATACAACATTGTAGGACATAGAGGTATTGTCAAAGACATGAATCTTGAAGAAATAAATCCTTAATAAATTCTAATGTCACTTAAAAGAACTAAAAAGTCATTCAAAGATGATATGGTATTGAATTAGAATGGCTATTGCCAAAGACAAGAAGACTAAAAAGTCTTGAAACAAGACTAAAGACTAAAAAGACATTGATATGAGTGAAGAAGAGTTCACTCTTGCCTCCATATATACTTTTAATTAAATAACTACCTAATAATATCTTATAGGACCTCCAAAACGTGTTGACTTTATAAGACATATATCTCAACTTGCAAGGCAAGTTTTCTATATGTATGCCACATAGTTAACTTGCTTCATAAACTATCAATGTGTAGTTAACTTGTTGACAAAGTTTCTAGCTTACTAATTAATTACAAACACATATAAAGTCAAAGTAGTATCTATGAAGCTTCTTACAAGCTTTTCAAGAAAATAATATGAAATAAATCTATTTTTATTTATTTCTACTTAATCATACAGGTAAATATTAGAATAAATATGTATATCCGAGACACTATCCCCTGTTCCAGGAATGAGTTCTACAAGAAGCGGTCTTCATATGTTGAAGAAATCTAAGATGTTGAAAATTGTGTTTGGCACATACTCTGATATTTGTTCTCTTTGAAGATAGTTGATAGGTCCTCTTAGTCAACAATAATATTCCATATCATAGCAAAAAGACCACCCTATTTTTTGGTCATTGTTGAGGCTATCATGACTTTATTTAAATAAAATATTTGAAATATTACCAGGAATTGTTCCTACTTTTAATAAAATCACCAAACATCAGAAGTCTCTTATAAAGTTGTGATATCAAACATATGGTATTTTGCTATGTATTCAAAGAAGGATATGCTAAACTTGAGGATTTTCATCTTGATTATGTCATCTTGAAGGTTGTGACAATTGTAATGTCTCGTTTGGTAAGTTAGCAAATGAAAGCATTTAAGTTGAATATATTGGTTATTCCTTCTCTATCTCTTTAACATGACAAATACATAAAAGCTACAAAGAAGAATAAAAGGTAGAATGCTATTTTTTTTGGAACTTATTTCTTTTATAGTAAAGATTTGTTATTTTTATCTTGGTTTTGATGGATGTCCTCAATAAAAAGCGTCAACTCTCTTTGCTATATTTGCAAGATTCTTTGCTAGCTTCCACATGCATTTACTAATAACATATCTGCACCAATGAACAAGATATTCTAACCTTTTTTGGCATCACTTTAAATCTAAGACTTCTTCTACCTTAAACTCTTGATTATTATCTACTTCTATAGGAAGAGGTGGCATTTGTCTTCTTCTTGAGATATTCATTGTCTTATATGGCTTAAGAAGAGATATATGAAATAAAAAGTAGATCTTCATAGACTCTAGTAGATATAATCAATAAGCAACATGATTGATTTATTCACAAATAGAAAAAGGTCTAAGTCTACGATAGATACTAAATTTAATGAGTACTAAATAATATATTTTTTACAGATCTATTTTTGTATAAATCTTTGTTTGATTGAGTTGATGAAGAAGTCTTTAAATTAAAGGTAGAAGATACCTATTTTTGATGGTGATCTTATTGAATTCTTGATAGTCCATACATTTTGCAAAGATCCATCTTTTTTCTTCACAAATAAAATAGAAGTCTCGGTTGGAAATTTAGAATCATATATGAAATTTTTAGCCAAATTCTCATCAATGTATTCCTTAAGTGCAACAAACTTGTTTTTATAATAGGCTATAGATTGGTCCAAATGGTGGTTGAGCTGCTTCTTAAAGATCGATGGAACAATCATAAAGATAATGCTCTAAAAGAATATTTGCATTCTTTTTTCAAAAACTTCTTAGAAATCTTAATACCAACTAAGAATATTACTTGACTTCTTTTTACCATCAAAAATGGGCTTGGCAAATATAACAAAAGATGACCTTTATTTTGTAGCATGCATGAAAGCTCTTGCACCTACTAATAAAAGTTTGAATGTATTAGACTTATATATTTCTATTTGACTAATAAAATTTTGGATTAAATTATTAAAAATATTAAGATTATAAGAAATCCAATCTATTTGAGGATTATACTTTTTAAACCAAAATAATTCTAAAATAATAAGATTTGATAGAGATCTTATTATATTAAATAATACTATGATATTACGATCTTTAATTATTATATCTAAAGGAACAATCTCATGCATAACATCTTTAGAAGAAAAAAAAATGACTTCTACATGTATGGGTTTAGTTTTCTTGACTAACAATATTTCTTATTTTTTGACAAAATCTTTGTTTATAAAATAGATTGAGGTTCTTAAATCTAACAAAGCTAAGATGTGATTTTTTGGTCTTAAATAAACTTCTATTGTAAAATAAAGTAAGAGGTCTGAGGAATGAATAAGACCTTTATTAGGAGTTATGTAAGATTCTAACTACACAATCCCTATTGTAACTAGAGAAACTTATTTTTTGACATATTGTCTTTTTTGGCAACTATGCTTCTTATTTTGTGGTTAAGTTTTTTCTTTGGATAATGTTGAAAAATGTATTTAGCTTCTCCACAATATAAGTATAAGTCTTCATAATATTATTGAGTATTTTTTTGCTTCATGAAAAATTTAAAACATACTTTGTCAATTTGCATTGGTTTTGACCTTGATGAATAAAATTTTTAAAACTTGGGATTTGCTATCATTATTTGACTTAATCCTCTCTAGCCAAGTCTTTGTTCTTGATATCTTTCAAATAATAAATTATTATATATAATGGCTTAAAAAATAAATTATTTTAAAGAATATATCTTAAATATTATCAATGACAAATCTTTGATATTATTCTTCAATTCATATCAAAATTGACTAATGAGGGCTTTGTTATTTCAGTCCACATCACAAGCAAGGTTTTGAAATTTAGCAACATATATGATAGTTGATTGTGATTCTTGCCATAAAAATAAGAGCTTAGTTTATGCTATTCTTTCTTGATTACTTTCTCCAAATGTGGCCGTAAACACTTTTAGGAATGAATTCAAATCATAAAAGAGTTACAAATCTTTTTTTATTAAAGATATAAACCAAGACATAGCACTTCTTAATAGAAGTGTACCTATGAATCCAACTTGAGTAAATCTATTAGGATATTAGAAGACATGCAATTTTAAATAGAGCTTGATTTGTTGCAAAAATCCTTGAAATTTTGATCTTATTCCATCAAACTTCTCAAGCATACTAATCTTTGTCCTTATCATACTTGTAGAAGCAAAACTTTTTGGATTTGGTTGTAAAGTTAATCTACTTGCTTCTTTCAACTGTACAACTTCTTTATGTAGACTTTAAACTTCTTCTATAGATATAGGAATAGTACCTCCATGCTTTAAATTAGAAATATATAAGATTTCTATTCTTAGAATATTAATATGTTCATAAAGATCTATAATAATTACAAATCTATTCTCACTTATGTTAAGAGTAGTATCCAAACTTTTTTCTATTATAGACAACTCAAAAAAATCCATAAGTCAAATTAGAAGAAAATAATCTATAAGCTCTAATATCTAATGAAAATTTCTAAAAAGAAAGGTAATTTATTTTTTTTAAAGAAAAAAAATGATGTTAGAAAATTCAATAATTTATTTGAAGGTGGATAATCCATAAGCTTCAAAATACAACAATAAAAGTGGGATAATCCACTCACTTCTAAAACAAGATAAAAACAATAAATTAACACTCTTGTCAAACTATCAAGGATATGAATCTAGAAGAAAAAAATCCTTAATACAATATTTTGTTATTCAAAAGAACTAGAAAGTCATTCAAAGATGATATAGTATTAATCTAGAATGGTATCACAAACATATACATTTACCTCAATAGTTACTTATATATTTAAATAGAAGTAAATAAATATAGAATAATTTCATAAAATCTTCTAAAGTAGCTTCTTAGAAGCTTTA